GACGCTAAGTCAGGACAAGCAGGAAGTCTACAGACAAAGCCCTGCGTGCTCTCTCATCTTCACCCACAGCTGTGCGCTCCCCAAACTCCTGACCCACGCCCCACATCAGCACTCACTGCCCCGGTGCAGTCCAGGCCTCTGCGTTGCTTAGCGATTGCTTTGCAACCAAGAGCGCCCCCTTCAGCTTCCTCATGATTTCTGTCTTTTGCAACCTGGCCCAAGTCCCGAGGACAGCCCGACCCTCCTTTCACGCATGGAGGGGGCACTTCTCCGTGTTAACGGTTTACGTTGTTCGCCCGGATTCCTCGTACATCAGTGGACACGAGGAGCCCACTCTCACTTCCGCCCCAGCTCTGAGTCTTATGCGTTACGAGCACGCTGGGGTTCTCTTACAGGGACTGGCTGCCACCAGGCTATCCCGGTAGTCAAGCAGTGAGAGGCTGTGTCCTGGCACCTCCAAAGCCCCTGGGGTGCACACGCGGGAGGCACTTGCAGCTTTGTGGAGGGTGGAGAGAGCAGCGCACGGAATGGACTGCAATGGGGGGGGGGATGTCGCTCCCCCATTCGCGGAGGAACGACACTAGACCCTGCGCTGTTCTTTCTGCCCGGCTCTTCCTGGGTTAGCTGCCGATCCCCTCACTCGTGGAGGAACAACACCTTCCCAGGTTAGCTGCCGGCCCCTCCACCTCTGTGGAGGGGCGGCACCCCCCACCGATTTCCCCGCCTCCGCGGGGGAGCGGCACACCGCCGGCCGGCTCTCTCAGGGGCTGCTCAGATGTTCCTCAGATGTTCCTGGTGCATGTTGTCTCTCTCCTCCTTTATAGTCCTCTTCCACCAATCCCAACTCTGCTGCCCACACGCTGAGTACGCTGCTCTCCTCCAATCAGGAGCAGGTCCTACAGTTTATTGGTTGAACTGGAGGCAGCTGTGTAGAAGCTGTTTTCTCCTCTCCCAGCACCATATTGTGGGAGAGCAGATGCATAGAATAAGTCTTAATTCCAGTAACTCAGTCTAGTCCGGGTTGCTCCCCTCAGGGGGGGTCTTCAGAACCAGCACTTGCACACCACCACCCAGCGTCACAGCCGTGCCAGGAAGGAACCAGCCTGGCCTCCACGCACATCGGAGAATTCGTCTCCAGCAACCTCCCAGATTCTCCCCTTGTGCGGCCCAGTGTCCCCCGAGGACAGGGCCTGCTGTGGATCCTGCAGCCACTCTCACAGACCTGGGAACAGGCGCTGGGCCGCCACGGGGTAAGACGTGGCCCTGCCCACCTGGCCATCATGGGTGGGTCCACGGGTGAGCCCCGACACAGGGGCCCTCTGAGCCAATTCTGGGGGGATTCTGGTGGAGAGCCCATAGGTGCTGGTCTTGGTCTGACCCCCTCTAGAAAGCAGGAGACGACAGCACAGGCAGGGCTGGGGGCCGGAGGCCATGTACGGCCACGGGGTTGGGAAGGAAAGAGCGTGAAAAGGGAGGCTGCAGAGATGCACACAGAGGCTGAGATGCACAGAGACGGAGATGCACACAGACTGAGATGCACACAGACTGAGATGCACACAGACTGAGATGCACACAGAGACTGAGATGCACAGAGACTGGGGATCAGGAGACATGGGCGCACGCCCAGGGCCTGGTGACACCAGGCCAGCAGTTCTCACCCATGAGGGTGGAACCATGGATGCTCAGTGCACCAGGTCCCCCACTGTGGTCACGAGAAGCAGGACAGCCATGGTACAGCTGGGCGGGAGGAAACACTAGGGTGAAGGTGTCGTCGTGTAGCACAGACACGAGCCACTTGGGTGACGAATAAGACAAGAGCCGCCCGAGTGGACGATGAGACCCCATCAGGGACTGGAGAGGGGACAACACTTACTGAGGCAGTCCTCAGCAGGAGACGGGGCACCACGGCGTCCCAGCCCAAGGACAGGCCCCCAGATGCCACTTCTGAGGCACCCACCCCAAGCAGGCCCTGCACAGCCTGACGGGAATCACTCTGAGAGAGGATGAGTGGCTGCTGGGGCCGCAGGGACCAGACACCAGCCACGAGTGGCTTTTGCCGTGTGGACGTCTGAGCAGAATTGGACTGTTTTAACGGAGGAAGTGCCAGGCACATGCGCAAGCCACGGGCGTGACTCAAAGGATGGGTAAATGAAGTCGGGACGTTCTGGGCCCCTGGTCTACATCATCCGGGGCTGAACAGAGAGGGCTGTGTGAGGGACCAGCCCCCGTGCGACGGTCAAAGGCAGAGGCAGCTGCTTGGTGCTGGGCTCAGAGGGACAAGCCCAGGACCACTTCTCTGAGTAGGAGAGAGGAAGACGTGGAAGCCAGCAAGGCAGTCGGAGGGCCGAGACACGGCTTGGCGGTAAAAGAGACGGGGACCCCAGGAGAGGGCACAGGCGCTTCAGTGGGGAGAAACGGACAGCAGCGAGACGGACGGACGCGAAGGAGACAGTTACAGAGACCGACAGAGAGCTGGGTCCTGGCAGGTAGGGAAAGAGAGCCAGCACGATGAGAGGCGGAGAGAGGACGGCAGGCAGACGGTGGCAGAGGGAGACGGAGGCCGCGGAGGGCAGAGAGCACTGGGTGGAGCAGACAGGAGGAGCCCCCTGCTGCAGAAGTGGGGATCCGGGCCGGCGCCGCGGCTCACTAGGCTAATCCTCCGCCTTGCGGTGCCGGCACACTGGGTTCTAGTCCCGGTCGGGGCGCCGGATTCTGTCCCGGTTGCCCCTCTTCCAGGCCAGCTCTCTGCTGTGGCCCGGGAGTGCAGTGGAGGATGGCCCACGTGCTTGGGCCCTGCACCCCATGGGAGACCAGGAGAAGCACCTGGCTCCTGGCTCCTGCCATCGGATCAGCGCGGTGCGCTGGCCGCAGCGCGCCGGCCACGGCGGCCATTGGAGGGTGAACCAATGGCAAAGGAAGACCTTTCTCTCTGTCTCTCTCTCTCACTGTCCACTCTGGCTGTCAAAAAAAAAAAACAAACAAACAAACAAACAAACAAAAAAAAAAGAAGTGGGGATCCGGCTGCCATCGACAGAGAGAGGGGGCGGCGCCTTGAGCAGACAGTACGGGCACATCGCAGAAGGAGACGCACAGGTTTGAACGGTGGGGCCGTGCCGCCCCTGTCCTGGGCTCCAGCCAGCGCCGTAGGCCTCTGCACCCCAGCTCCGAGCTCCTCTCCCCGGCGCCCTGTACCTGCCCTCAGCGCATGCGCGTAGGCCTCAGCTCGAGTGGACCTCGACAATGGCGCCCCTGTGCCGCCTGAAGAAATCTGCTTCCCCAGCTTGAACGAAATTAAAATTTAAAACAACATCAGGTGGCCATGGGACAAACAAGCAAACGGCAGCTGTTTAATTAAAACTTAAAGTTGATGAGACGGCAGGACGGAGAGATGCACGCCGGGGAAGCTCACGGCACTGCTAGAAATCAAGCCTGAATTACAGTCGTGGTGCACACGTGAGCAGGCCCCTGCCCGGAGGGAACTCCCGACGGCTCGGCGCCGCGCGGGCCCAGAGGCTGGATCCGGAGCTGACTCCTCCGGCAGCTGCGGAGCTGCCACAGAGCAGCGGCTTCAGGGCCCTTGCACGGCACCGGGAGCCCGCAGTGTGCGGGGCCCACGCCTGACACTGCGCTAGGGACAGGTGAGGGCAGAGGGGAGACACGGCCCCTTCTGCTGCAGCCCTGGGCTGGCGCCAGGGAGCCAGGGCCGAGGCCCCAGAAGCATTCCAGAGGGGCAGGCCTGGGAGGAGGCCTTCGTAGTCCTATGGGGGAGAGAGGAGAGAGAGAGAGGAAGAGGTAGAGGGAGGGGGAGGGAGGGAGAGGGAGAGAGAGGGAGAGAGAGACAGAGAGGGAGAGGGAGAGAGAGGGAGAGAGAGGGAGGGAGAGAGAGACAGGGAGGGAGAGGGAGAGAGAGAGAGGGAGAGGGAGAAAGAGGGAGGGAGAGGGAGAGAGAGACAGGGAGGGAGGGAGAGAGAGGGAGAGAGATAAGGAGAGGAAGAGAGAGGAGGAGAGAGAGAGGAAGGAGAGAGAGGAAGGAGAGAGGGAGGGAGGGAGGAGAGAGAGGGAGAAGAGAGGGAGGGAGGGAGGAGAGAGAGGGAGGAGAGAGAGGGGGAGGGAGGGAGGAGAGAGAGGGAGGGAGGAGAGGGAAGGAGGAGAGAGAGGGAGAGAGAGGGAGAGAGAGGGAGGGGATATGAATGAAGGAAGGAAGAGAGGAAAAGGATGGAAGGAAGAAGAGAAGAGAGGGAGGAAGGGGGGAGGAGGGAGAGAGGGAGGGAGGGAGGGAGGGGGAGGGAGGAAGGGAGAAGAGAAGGAGAGAAGGAAAGAAAGTCCTTTGTGGAAAGTTGGTGGAGAATACGGATCCCCCATCTGCCCGGGCGTCAGGAGCTCCATCCGGGCCTCCCAGCTGAGTGGCAGGGACCAGGCTGCCTGCGCCATCACTGCTGCCTCTCGGGGCCTACGCTAGCAGGAAGCTGGGGTCGGACAGAGCTGGGGCTGAAACCCAAGCGTTCCACCTGGCATGGGTGCAGGGTGTCCTAACCCCCCACTAAATGCCCACGGCAGCAGCAGGATTTTTAACCCGTATTTCCACCTGATTACATGCAATTCTGTGTTATAAATATGTGTCTGTCGCCTCCACATTGGATTCACAGATAGGAACGTGCGACGTGAGGAGTAGCTGGGGAGAACACATGCCAGAGAGAATCAGATTCTTGCAATACCTCGTCTAAAAAATAGAAACTCAAGGCCAATCCTGAGAGCTGTCTTCAGTCCTGATCTGGGTTTGTGTGGACCAGCTGCTGGGCTAAATTATTATCCTCCCAGGCAATGTCAGTGTGAGAGCGGAGGGTGGCCAGGGTGGCCACGCCGTGCGCGTGTGCTGAAGGAGAGCCCGCTGCGAAGCCCACGCTGTCCTCCTGGACCGAATCCAGCCCCAGCAGTTCCTTACCCGAGTCTTGGAGCAGGTGCAGTGAGGAAAACATTCTAGAAGCTGCTGGCTGACTCACCTGCCGCGGCTACTGAGCGTCCGACCGCGACTCCCGCCGCTGAGGACTGGATCTTGAAATCATTCGAACAGCCGCAGGTCCATGGTCACCGTCCTGCCCAATCCAGCCTACGGGACAACACCTAACACTGGAGTTATCTTCCCTGATGTTGACCTCTTAGAAAAACACACAATCTTATGTCACTTATAACTGAAAGAAAACCCAGTCTTTCTCATCCTATAACAAATCCTCCCCATGAGCGAGAAATCATTTGTGTCTACTCATCTGCTTGCTTTGATTTTCTTTTCTCTTTTAAACAGAGCACTCAAAAATGCAGAATATGGTGTTGTGCCGTATGGGCCTCGCTGCCACCTGCCATCCCTTACAGGCACCAGTTCAAGTCCCGGCTGCTCCACTCCCCAACCAGCTCCCTGCTAATGGCCTGAGAAGGCAGCAGCAGATGGCCCACGTGCGTGGGCCCCTGACGCCCACGTGGGAGACCTGGATGAAGCTTCTGCCTCCTGATTTCAGCCTGGCCCAGCGCTGGCCATTGCAGTCATTTGAGGAGTGAGCCAGCAGAGGGAAGATTTCTCTCTGTGTCTGTCTCTCCCTCTTGCTCTGTAACTCTTTCAAATAAATAAATTTTTTTTTAAATGCAGAATGATGGAACGTTCGATGTAGGTGACAACTGTTTGACAAATGGAAGCACAGAAGTCAGCACCCTCCAACGTGGGGACAATCCCGGAGCTGTCACGGTCGCGTTCGAGCACCCAGCCCGGAAGGCGGTGTTGCCTGCCATCCCGAGAGCAGTGGGCCGGGCACTCAGGCCTCTCCTTTCTAAGTGTCGCCAAGGACACGCTGTCTCTACTGCACCACCTGCAGGACCAGGGACCGTCGGGACCTGGAGACCTGGAGACCTGAGACCCCTGTGCTTTGTCACTGCAGTGGTCAGACGGTCACTTCTGTAGCTTTGACGTTGCAGGGCACAGCCCATCAGCACCAGGCACCTGGCGCTCCTCCGTCACTCGTGCTGGTCCCCCATCCCCGGGGCTGTTCCCTTACTCGTAAGCACGGCCATCCTACCCGCCACACAGACTGTGTCAGGGCACTGCGTCCACCTCTCTCCGTGCCCCCAGCGTAGCTCCCACTGTCTGCTTCATAGATGAGGCAGATGTCACACAAGCTAAGCATCTTTTTCAAGGTCAGGAGGAAAAACAATAGAACAAAATTAGAAATAACATCCAGGCTCAATGACCCGTTCCCAGCACTACATAGGGCTGTGTCGGCAATGACTGTGACGTCACCACGGGACTTACAGATACTTCCCATCACATTGCAGCCACGGCAGATGCTGGCAACTGCCCCTGGCGTGCAGCTGTCAAGCCTGCACTAGGTCTGGTTTCTAATTCGGCCACGAAACACACACTGCTTCGCAGACTGTTCTAACTGCCTCAGTGGACTCGTCTCCTTTGTCATGTGATGCAATTTACTTTACCCGTTTAAGACCGATAATTTTGGGAGGGGGTTTGGTCTGCAGTTAAGACGCCACGTCCCTGGGCAGGTGTTCGGGGCAACAGTTAGGACGATGCCGGGGACGCTGACACCGACATCGACGGCTCCAGCCTCAGCTTCCTGCTGACCTGCACCCTGGGAGGCAGCGCGATGTGGCTCAGCCGGTTGGGACCCACGAGGGAGACCTGGATTCCTGGATTGTGCCCCCAGCTCGCAGGTTCAGCTCAGCCAGGTACTGGCCATCGGAGCGTCATTCCTAACAAGAACTGCTGCTCTGTGTATCTGTCAGAAGTGCCAGCTCTTAGAGGCAAATACGTAAGCGGCTCTACAGCTTCGGGTTGGCCATGCTGCTGGCAACGGCGTGATGAGGACTGAAGCGTAGGGGTGCCTCAGCCTTGGACTGTGGTGTGAGGCCGGGAGCCCCACAGAGGGCGGTCAGTGTTGGCCAGGGCACCTCCCCTCCGCCCAGACTGCCCACAACCAGCAGCCGTGACCCACACAACAGCCCCTGACATGGGCGTTGGGCCTCCGTGGATGGTTGGCCTGGTCAGAAGCAGACCCGGGGATTGAAGGAGGGGTACAACTGCTCCAGAGAGCTGCCTTGGAGATGGGGCTTCTAGTGAACTATTACTGTGGGCTTCTAGTGAACTATGACTGTGGGCTTCTAGTGAACTATGACTGTGGGCTTCTAGTGGACTATTACTGTGGGCTTCTAGTGAACTATTACTGTGGGTTTCTAGTGGAGCTATGACTGTGGGTTTCTAGTGAACTATTACTGTGGGTTTTAATGGCGAGAAATAGAGCCAGGACTCGCAGCACATCCTTAGAGCAACTGCTGAGACCACGAAGACGGATGCTGGACTAGGCTCTGTCTGCACCCTGAGCCCTGGTGTTGGGGGAGGGAGGCGGTCTGCTCAGAAACCCGGGAGTAATCATGGGGTGTAGACAGCAGACATCACATGGTGTAGACAGCAGGCTTCACGTGGTACAGACAGCAGGTGTCATGTGGTGCAGATAGCTGGAGCCATGGGGTGTAGACAGCAGGCATCATGTGGTATAGACAGCAGGCATCACTGGGTGTAGACAGCAGACATCACATGGTGTAGACAGCAGGTGTCACGGGGTGTAGACAGCAGGTGTCACAGAGTGTAGACAGCAGGTGTCACAGGGTGTAGACAGCAGACATCACATGGTGTAGACAGCAGGTGTCACGGGGTGTAGACAGCAGGTGTCACAGAGTGTAGACAGCAGGTGTCACAGGGTATAGACAGCAGACATCACATGGTGTAGACAGCAGGTGTCACAGGGTATAGACAGCAGACATCACATGGTGTAGACAGCAGGTGTCGCAGGGTGTAGACAGCAGGTGTCACATGGTGTAGACAGCAGGTGTCACGGGGTGTAGACAGGCATCACGTGGTGTAGACAGCTGGTGTCACAGAGTGTAGACAGCAGACATCATATGGTGTAGACAGCTGGTGTCACAGAGTGTAGACAGCAGGTGTCACGGGGTGTAGACAGCAGGTGTCACGGGGTGCAGATGGCAGGCCCAACAGGATCTTCATCACAGATATTCCCCAAATGTGGGGCATCGCTCCCTTTCGGAACCAGCAGGTGCAAGACCTCTCTCTCTCCCTCTCTGGTCCCCTCGGGCCTGCTCCCCACAGAGCCAAGGGCTGTGTTCCCACAGAGCGTGGCCCCGGCTGTGCCCTGCAGGTCCTGCCTGGCTTGAAGCCACCACTGTCACCTGGCCGAGCCTCAGCCACACTGGGAGGGAGTGTTCTCGTTCCTGGCGTTTCCCCAAAGGCTGCCCGGGGCCATGGGGAGGCCCACCCCACATGATCCCCGAGGCCTGGCGGCCACTCGCAATGACCAGAGACTTCTCCAGAAGTGGCCGTGCGGAGCAGAACTTGAGGCTCCCTGCTCGCCTTCGAGGACCGCGGATTTCAGGATCTCCCCACAGCAGCTCATCGGGTTCATCCTGACAAATGCGGGGCCAGCCATGGCGTGTGAGGCCGGCATCCCATATCGGAGTGCAGCTGGGGTCCCCGCCACTCCACGTCCCATCCGTCTTCCCGCCAGTGCTCCTGAGAGGCGGCGGGAGATAGATCAAGTTCCCAGGTCCCCGTCATCCATGTGGGAGACCTGGGTCAAGATCCAGGATCCTGACTTTGGCCTGGCCCAGCCCTGGTTGTTGTAACCACTGGGGAAGTGAACCAGTGGGTGGAAGATCTCCTCTCTCTTTCTCTCTGCCTTTCAAATGAAATGAATACTTTTTTTTATAAAGCAAGAGCTGTGAGACACAAAGAAGACAGTGATGTTCTCCCGAGGCTGAACGCATCCCAACAGGGACAGAGTGCCAGCCACCCACCCCCAGCAGTGTCCCAACCTCTAACTGGAGACTGACAGTGCCATACAAGACCCGTGTCCACGTGGAGTCGACGCCTTCTGGGGAGGGGGAAACAGGTGAGCAAAGACACACACGTCACACGCATCAGGCCAGTGTGGAGAGTGCAGAGGTTGCACACACGTCACACGCATCAGGCCAGTGTGGAGAGGTTGCACACATGTCACACGCATCAGGCCAGTGTGGAGAGTGGAGAGGATGCACACACGTCACACGCATCAGGCCAGTGTGGAGAGGATGCACACACGTCACACACATCAGGCCAGTGTGGAGAGTGCAGAGGTTGCACACACGTCACACGCATCAGGCCAGTGTGGAGAGTGGAGGGGTTGCACACACGTCACACGCATCAGGCCAGTGTGGAGAGTGGAGGGGTTGAACCAGGGACGAGGATCATGAACCACAGAGGCTGGGATGAGGTCGTCAGCAAAGGGTGCGGCCAGCCTCCAGACAAGTGCCACGTGCAGGTCATCGGAGCTCCTTGGCTGGGATGTCGCGTATCGGAGAGTCGCTCTCGCACGTGAACCACAGCTCGTGGTGGGTCACGGCGTCGGCTGCCACGGGCTGGGCGCAGGAGGCCGAGTCAGTCGGCAGTGAAATCAGAATGAGCCTCTCTGGTGAGCGCACAAATGGCTCCCATGGAAATGACTCCCTAATTGTTAATCAATGGCAATAAACTTCTGGTCCGCCCTCATGCCGGGCTGCATGTCCTGCCGGAGACAGCGCCGGCCGACGGCCATTTCACTAAAGCCATGGAGGGCTCCCCAGAGGGAAAGAGCCGGGACCAGGGACACAGACGCACTGGTCAGTGCAGCCTCTGCTGATTGTAATAAACACCCCTGGATCCAGCTGCCCGGAGGACCCTGACCCCACAAGAGCCCCTGGGAGGCTGCGCTCGGCGGGATCCAGCCCACGGCTCCTCCACCAGGACAGTCCCCGTGACCACAGCCATGGGTCCCAGGAGAGACAGCGGCCACGGCCCCAGGGCCAGCGGGAGCAGGGAGAAGCTGCCCCAGGGCAGCTGGAGAAGGCAGGGCAGGAGCTAGGGTGCCTGGGCCCCATCCTGACCTCCTGCCCCACCTCACCTCTGAGCCTCAGTGTGCTCATCCGTAAAATGGGGCTGCGCTTGGTCCCTGTCCCAGGAGGTGGTTGTGGCCATGGTAAGGGCTCTGCAAGTCTCCTCGTGGCCTCCCTGTCTCTGTACCAGGGACACCCACCCGGTCTGAGGGAGGCGGCCTCTTCCAAGCTCCCTGTGGGCAGCAGGCCCGGATCTGCCAGAGCTTCAAATATTTTGAATGTCAGTGTCAAGTCAAGTCGCTGGGCTTAAATCTTGACAATGAACTCACACGTTGTGAACACGTTGAGAGACCTGTCAATCATGCCGGCAGGCCGCCTCTGCCCCACAGCCCGAGTGCTCATGGGTGTCAGAGGTGAGACGGGCACGTAGCCTCAGTGCTCAGCGAGAGGCAGCGACACCATTCCTGGCCCTACCTGTCAGCTTTACAGAACACCGTGCCCGGCATTGTGGGCTGGCAGGTAGAGCCGCCACCTGTGACACCAGCATCCCATATGGGCGCTGGCTCAAGCCCCAGCTGCTCCTCTTCTGATCCAGCTTCCTGCTACCATGCTCGGGAAGGCAGTGGAAGATGCTCCGAGTGGGAGACCTGGACAGAGCTCCCTCAGCCCGGCCCAGCCCTGGCCATGGCAGCCATTTGGAGAGTGAACCAGCAGGTGGAAGACCTCTCTCTCTCCCTCTCTCTCTAACTCTGCCTTTCAAATATAAATCCTTAACACAGGAACACGGGGCGCTCTGGTGAACCCTCTGGACAGACTGTGCCCTGCCCCATTTGCAGACGGGAACGTGGAGGCTCGGGGGAGGAAGAGACTTCCCGTGCTCACGGCCTCCAGTGGCACAGCGAGGCCGTGCGCCGGCTTCTCCAGCTCAGTGCGGCGCTGCTGGTCCAGCACACGCCCGAGTCTTCAACCTCGCCACTCAGAGGAGACCAGGGACCAGAGGGCTCTGTGCACCTCCAGGCAGGCCTGGGCGGGGTCTCTGCTTCGTGACCGGCTCCCTCTGCCCGCAGCACAGGACACAGCCGGCAGCCAAACGGCTGAGCTTGTGGCCAGACGCCCGCCCGCTGCTGCTCCCCCGCAGGCGCTTCTGGTCGGGTTTGTGTCCGTCCACTGGCAGCACCCTGAAGTCGCCATCATAAGCAGAGTGCCCTGGCTCAAACATACGGACACTGAGCCGCACCTGCCCTCCGCCGGCCCTGCCTCCCTGCTGGGGCTTCCCAGGAAGGGGGCGGCCAGGGAGACCTCGGGCTCTGTCTGTGGATGCTGTCGGAGGACACCAGGCCATCATCCCTGCCTCTGTTGGACTGAACACAACTTGTGCAGAAAAGGGGTCCTCTGAGTGCCAGCCCCTCCCACAGAGCAGACAAGGGCAGGACCCCACCAGGGGCTCTGCAAGGCGCTGGCACGATGGGGCACAGGGACCCTCAGAGAGGCGAGATGGGAGCGCTGACAGGGCAGACGCTGCGCCATAATCACCGCACGGAGGCACCTGCCGCGCCCGAGCAGGTGGGCGACTCTGTCCCCCGCGGCCCAGCTGATTTACTGTGTCCATCTGCAAGCTCTCGTCCCCGCCTGCAGGGGGCGCAGGGCCTGGCAAGCAGTGCTCATGGGTGACTGGTAAGGAAACCCCCAGAGCAAGAGGGGGTCCTGGGGAGCAGGGAGGCCAGCAACACTGCCCCGGGGGCTTCCGCTGCTGTCTCCGAAGCAGTCCTGTTCGAAGGCCATTGGTGACGAGAACTCAGGGCAGAGAGGACCCGTGTGGCCCGCCCACCTGCAGGGAGCTAGGAGGAAACCGGCCTTGCGCCCCTGCGAGCAGAGCCCAGGCAGGCTGCCCGCCCCCACCACTGCACAATGCGTGGATTGGGAGAGCACGGCCAAGGACAAGGACAAACGAGCTGAGATCAAAAAGGAGGAAAACAGTCCCAGTCTACGGGAGACAGGAAAAGCCCATGGAATCTAGAACACACGAAAGCAGAGTGCTGCAAGGTTGTAGGCACAACATGTACAAAGAATGACTGGATTTTTAAAATTTTTTTTATTTATTTATCTGAAAGAGAGAGAGAGGTCGATCCAGCTGTTGGTTTACTCCCACAACAGCCAGGACTGGGCCAGGCAGGAGCTGAGAGCCAGGAATTCACTCCAGGTCTCCCACGCAGGCCGCCGGTTTCAGGAGCTGGAGTGGGTGCCAAACGCAAGTGCTGCAGGTGGGAGGCAGGCGTCTGACCCTCTAGGCCAAACACAAACCTCTGCTGGCTGCCTGGTTCCCAGTGGCAGAGAATCGGAAAGTAAAAGGGTTAACTGCATGCTGTCAGAGTTGGAGTGGGCGTGCTGCACAGGAGGCTGCTGGTGACCACGGAGCCGCCCGGCTGGGCTGACTTGGCCGCATCAACCAGAGAAGGACAAATCCCTGGAGCAGAGTGGGAGGGAGGCGGAGAGAGGGCCGGGGCCACAGACAGCCAGCGTCACCCATGGGGCTGTGTGTGTTTTAATTTTTATTTACTTGTTCTCATTTTATTTGAAAGGTGGAGATACACACACGCACAGACACACACAGATCTTTTTTTTTTTTTTTGAAAGATTTATTTATTTATTTGAAAGTCAGAGTTACACGGAGAGAGAGAGAGAGAGAGAATCTTCCATCTGCTGGTTCACTCCCCAGTTGGCCGCAATAGAGCTGTGCTGATCTGAAGCCAGGAGCTGGATGCAGGGGTCCAAGGACCTGGGCCATCCTCCACTGCTGTCCCAGGTCACAGCAGAGAGCTGGACCGGAAGTGGAGCAGCCAGGCCTCGAACCAGTGCCCATATGGGTTGCTGGCTCCCCAGGCAGAGACCTAACCCACTACACCACAGTGCTGGTCCCTACAGATCTATTCACTCGTTCACTTCCCAAATGCCCCAAACAGCCAGGGCTGGACCAGGCTGAAGTCAGGGGCCCAGGACCAAGTCCAGGTCTCCCGTGAGGGTGGATAGACTCAGACACTTGAGCCCTCACCTGCTGCCCCCCCCCGGGTGTGCATCAGCAGGAAGCTGGATCGGAAACCGAGCAGCCGGGACTTGACCCAGGCGCTCTGCTTCGATGCTGATGTCCCAGGAAGCGAGTCAACCGCTCTGCCCCCTGCTTCCCTGCCATTGGCTGCTTCAGGGAATCGGGGACATCCAGTGGACATTGGCTCCTAAGCACATGGGAAGATTCAAAGCCGGATGCCAAAGAATTGGATCAAGCCCCGGTTGGCCCATGGCGGGAGCAGGTGGGTTCCGCTCCCCAGGGCTGCCTCCCACCGGCCTGGAATCAGGACGTTCTCGGCCATTCATGTGCCGCCAGGGAAGCCCCAGCCGGGCTCCAAGTGTCGGTGAGCAAGCCGAGGCAGAGACGCAAAGGCGCTTGCCCACCATCCAGCCGCAGGGCGCAGAGCCAGGATTCGGCCGCGCTCTGCTTCCCGGTCTTTGTTCTGGTCGCCCAAGCTGCACCCGCTGAGGGCGGAGGCCCTGCAAGCGCAGGTGTTACCTGCATTTCCTGTGGCTCTGAGCCCTGTCCCGCTCGTCACTCAGGAACCAGGAGAGTGGTGCACTGTGTACAGGTGAAGAGAAGGAAAAGAAAGGCCCAGGAGCCCTGCCCACCGTGGTGACAGGAGTGCAGCCAGCGAGGGCCCCAGCTGTCCCAAAGCAGGCCAGCTGTGCTGCCTGGGAAGGCCGGAGCCCGGGCCTGGCTCCCGTGGAGTTACAAACAGGCGCAGTAGGATCCCGTAAGCTGCCTTCTGAGAGTGTCCTGACAATACCACAGCCTTGTTGGTTTCCTTGGTGATACTCAGATGTTGTTGAGTTTGGCCCTCACCCCGACCCCTCCGTCTCTTCCCTCCACAGCAGCCGAGTGATCTGCCGTTGTGGTGCAGGGGGTAAGCCATCTCTTAAATGCTGGCATCCCGAATCTGGTGCCAGTTCAAGTCCCAGCTACTGTGCTTCCAATCCAGCTCCCTGCTAATGCACCTGGGAAAGCAGTGGACGATGGCCCAGTGCTGGGGCTCCTGCACCCTGTGGGGGACCAGGATGAAGCTCCTGGCTCCTGGCATGCTTGCTCACTCACTCACTCTCTCCCCACCCCATATTTTTTTAAAAAGAAATTTAAGCCATATGACACACTCTCATCAAATTAGGAAAAAAGCCAAAGTCTTTATCCAAAGACGTGTGCCATGGGCTGAATATATCTTGCTCCCTGTAAAACTCACGTGAGACGTGGTCCCCAGTGGAACAAAGTTGAGAGGTGATGGGGTCTCTAAGAGAGGTTAACGTTCTTCTTAGGAGGCTGGATTTGTTCTTGCAATAACAGCTTCACTCTGGTCTCATGACAGAGGCCTGGACCTCCGCTGGTGCCTCCGTGGCTCACCCCACCCACACACGCCTGCCCCTCAGTGGCTCACCCCGCCCACACACGCCTGCCCCTCCGTGGCTCACCCCGCCCACACACGCCTGCCCCTCCGTGGCTCACCCCGCCCACACACGCCTGCCCCTCCGTGGCTCACCCCGCCCACACACGCCTGCCCCTCCGTGGCTCACCCCGCCCACACACGCCTGCCTGCCCTGCATTTCCCCCATGCCTGGAGCAGCAGGA